TTTTTTTTTTTTTTTTTTTTTTTTTTTTTTTTTTTTATAATCTGTTTTTTGTTTTGCTTGTGTGTTTTGGAGCAGGCGGTTTGGTCTTATGTTTCCGTAATTTTAATCTTTGGTTCTGCTTTCGGTTGATTTATATGTGTTTTGTTACTTCAATTTTGTTAGGTTGAAGACCAAAAGTGCTGGAGCTAGTAAGAAATCGGCGAAGGCTGCGAAGGATCCTAACAAGCCGAAGAGGCCTGCTAGTGCTTTTTTCGTTTTCATGTATTTCTCTCTCTCTAGCTTACTGATTTTGTATATGTATTTTGAGATCCGTGTTTTTAACGTCTAGTAGAGGTCACTTTTTTGCCGAATTTTTACTAGTTCGATTTTGTTGTTGATAAATATAAAGGGAGGAGTTTAGGAAGCAGTACAAAAAGGAGCATCCTAACAACAAATCTGTGGCCGCTGTAAGTGATTTTAGATCTGCGTCCTTTTTTATTTCATTTCTTTTAGGGAATTCATTGATTTTTAAACGCGATCTCGTTTGTGCAAATGAACAGGTTGGGAAGGCTGGCGGTGATAAATGGAGATCATTGTCAGACGCCGTAAGTTATTGGAAATCGATATTGTTACTCCCTTTGTTCTGTGATAATTGCATCAAATTACATGTTCCTGATGCGTTCTCGTTTGATTTTTTCAGGAGAAAGCGCCTTACGTAAGCAAGGCGGAGAAGAAAAAGACCGAGTACAACAAGACGATGCAGGCCTATAACAAGAAACTTGTAAACTCTCTTACCCCAACTTTTTGTCCAGAGTACTTGCTTGCTCTTGTTTATCTTAATCATCGGCTACAATTATTCCTTTAGGCGGAGGGCAGCAATGGAGCTGAAGAAGAGGAATCAGACAAATCTAAATCAGAAGTCAATGACAACGAAGAAGATGACGATGAGAGTGGAGAGGTTTGTAAACAAGCTATGTTTGAAGTATGCAATTCCAATAGTCGAATATGTCTCATAATCCTTTGTTTTGACATCTGCAGGAGGATGATGATGAGTAACTGTGTAACTGTATGGGATGAGGAATGCGTTTGAAGGATAAGCGATTTAACTTCTCATAGCTTGGAGCATAAAGACTCTGCAATTTAGATTTTTCTTATGTCTCGGATAAATAGCTACTTTATTTTTCTCTTTTTTTTGGGTAGTTAGCATAGATGGGAGAAAAAAAAATCAAAACAAAGAATGCTCTGTTCAATGTTAGATTCCTTAAGTTGACATGGTTCTGTATTTGAAAGGAAAATCTGTTAGTAATTCACAACCATTCAGTTTTAGTTCATTAGCCCACTGATCTTGGTTTTTTGATTTTCGTTCTGCCATTTCTTATTTTGATTCCCGTTGACCCATCTTCTTGCAATTCACCATGAAAGTGCGTGAGTTCATGTCTTGAGCTTATCTGCTTTGTTGGGTCGGTTGTCTTTTTGATTTGAAAGTTTGTTAGATTCTCTCTTGGTATTTGAGGATGAAATGATGGTGTTTGTTGACTTCATCCTTGAGTTTGAAAATGGCTCAAATTGTGAGGGTCTTCATTATAGTTTGTTTGTGGTTTCTGGAGAGAAGTCAATTTGTGGATCACAGTTCGTTCGTTCAGATGAGTGTTCTGAGTCGTTCGTTGATTTGTGAACAAATTCGAAGTTCGAATTCTTTGTTATGGTAACAAATTTGTGTTCGTTGTGTTCTTTCTTATGATGAATAAGTTTGGTTAAATTGGTTAAGATGGGAGTGATGGAATTAGGTTGGAGAATGGGTGTAATGATGTGTTGTTGTTAGTCAATTTACGTTTTGATTACTTGAAGACAGACTACGAACTTATTATAGGTATAGAGCCACCAAACGTGGTGCTCCTGTTGCTATGCATTCAAGAGTCGGATTCTTTGCCCAAATCACCATTAATAGGTAGTTGGTGGGTGATTTAATGAATAACAATGTGTAAGATGAATGTTAAAGCTATCCCACCAAGTTAGTTCATAATTGATTTGTTGCATTACGTTTGTAGAATTTGTACATTCCTAGATGTTATATGTTTGTCAATTTACGTTCTTTAACACGTGTATTTGCAAGTTTCGGTCATTTATGATAAAATATTCAAAAGATAATAGAATATGCATGATCATTAGGTCTAACTAATCCTGGATAGATATAAGCTTAACAACTTCTTCATTTATTAAACACTTCTCCATTTATTAAACGATAAAAAAAAAATCTTTAGGATTTTGTCGTTTGATTATTGTTGCTTGTGTTTTAGGTATCTAATTGTGTCGGTGAGATCCAATAAAACATTTCTTAAGAATGAAAACAACTCTATTTGACGAATTATACCTAATGAGCTAAAATTGACAATATGGGCTAAAATGAACAATATCTGATGGGTAACGGGTCAAATCGATAAATTATTCCCCGTAATAACATTTTTTTATATTAAAAAAAATCAGTATTTGAAAAAGGGACTGAAATTGATTTAAAAAACCAAACATGAGAAAGATTAATGTGATCTAGTGGTGGCAATTTCAAAAGCGTGGAAGAACAGAGAAATGGGAGGGCCAGGGCGGTGCTTGCTGGTTACGGGGCCTCCGGTAAGCTTTTGCCCCGCCGTAGATCGTAAAATGGATTTGGATGAATACATTTGAATGAAAAGAAATGTGATCATGTTTTGTTTGGGTGTAGGCTGTGGGCAAAACCACTCTGATCGTCAGGGTATTTGAGATGCTTAAAGCCTCTAACCCTAACTTGAAGATCAAAGGCTTCTATACTCGTAAGATGCAGATTTCTTCCTCTTTTTGTTTCTCTGCGATCGATTTTGCTATGGATGTTCCGTTGTCACAGGAGAAGTCAGGCAAGGAAGCCAGCGTGTTGGCTTTGAAGTCGTTACCTTAGATGGCCGAACATCTCCCCTTGCTTCGACCTCTGTGTCCAGGTACTCACCTCTCTCTCTCTCTCTCTCTCTCTCTCTCATTATCTCACTTCCGCTGGTTCATTAGGCTCCATACTTGATGCTCTGATTCTTCATTTTCTTCCAATTCTGTGGGAAATTATGGATTATTTGCTTAATTTGTAATGCAATGGCTTGTGATTCTCCTTTGCTTCTTAATTTATGAGTGGTTGCATTGCTGCGACCTTACTTGGAACAGTCCTTGAGTTCTAAAGAATGGCTGCATTAATTTTGTGTTAGCTTCAATCGGTATGGTTGAAATGGCATCCACATGGTGAAATTTGAAAGAGAGAAAACTTAGTGAAGAAGTTGAGTTTTTCAGTTGGAACGGACGGGATTGTCGAGAGGGAAGGCGATTTTTTATTTCTTGTTTTAGAAGTGTCCAAGCCTATAGAAATATCCTGATTTTAGAGTAACATCTATGGATGTGTGTTTGTAGTCTTCAAAGTTCATACGCACAAATTTGTTTGTGCCCTGAGCATGTTTATGTTTATGTGTTGAGGTTTGCATTCTAGGCTTGAGAGAGTGCCTAAACTTGATTGGATGGTATAAGGTTCATGTTTATGTTCATGTTTCCTGTAACTATATTGATATCCATTGCAGCTCAGAGTCTTTAAGATGGCCCACTGTTGGGAGGTATAAAGTTGATATAGCATCATTTGAGTCATTGGCATTGCCAGAATTGCAGGTAATATGGGTTATTTGGAACTTAGAATGTGCACAGATGAAGAAGAACTCACACTTGACTTTTGAAAAGATTTGGAAGAACTCTATTTTGAATGGCTAAAGCAATGATCTCTGTCTAGGATGAAAAGACAGTATTCTCCATCGTGTTTATCTAAATAAATAAATAAAAACAGGGAAGCGTTCTCCTTCGAGGTTACGGGTTTATGGCCTTAACATAACTTCTGAAGAAATGGTATCTGGCAGGTTGAAAAAGATACAGATCTGTTCATCATAGACGAGGTTGGGAAGATGGAATTGTTTAGTTCATCATTTTTTCCGGCAGTTCTTAAGGTTTTGGAATCAAATACTCCAGTTTTGGCTTCAATTCCCATCCCCAAGTCTGGACGGGATATACCTGGAGGTACATTATTCCCATAAATTCAATACTCAGCTTTGTCTTTCACTTGGATTAAGATTTGGGTTTAGGGTTTTTTGTGTTGTATGGTGATTCCACAGAATCTAAACTTGCGTGAACTGTGAAATTAGGAACAGTTGCAAGGCTGAGAAATCATCCAGAGGCAAATATATTTACGTTGAATCCAAGTAATAGGGATGGTGCTACAGAGCAAGTTCATGCCCAACTGTTGAACATCCTGGAACAGCAGCATCAGCAGCATTAGCTGTTCTACTTTTAAGTAAGTTTTAGGGCAGGGCAGGGCATGTCTAAACTTGTGATAAGTTGGTGGCGGATCTAAATCTTCAAGGATCTTTATGATTTCAAATTTATGTACTGTTTGTTGGATTTTACAGTGGTTTATATTTATGATTACCCAGCTTAGTGCTAACCATTTCGATGAACATGCAAAGCCACTGGTAAATGTCCTATGTAAGTGGAAATTTTGCTACAATAATTTTAGATTTGGAGGAGCTACATAGAATTTCAAGTTAATTATGCACAACAAAAGCAATCAAAATATATAAACAATAAATAAAAATAAAGTTGATAGGGAGTTAATTACGTGTTCCATGTTGTTCAGCAGTTCGCAGTAATTGATTTGCCATGGATGAAAATGACTTCGCTGTGTCTTGCATTTCCGTAGCTCTTTGGCTGATTCCCTGCGTAATGAACAGATACTAACATATGATATCTCCATAATCAAATTCAATGATGGGGACTTGTATAAAACAGAGAAAATGAAGCCTGAACCTTTGGACCTACCTGTAATTTTTTTGCATTCTCTTGCAACTTGCTTTCTGCCATCTTTGCATCACTTGTTTCCTGCAAGAAAAAGAAAAAAGGGATGGTGATCAATTTTGAGCAAGTTCATGAGAGTTCAAGTCCACCGTTAGTAGATATTGTCTATTTTGATCCGTTACGTGTCGTTGTCAGCCTCACTGTTTTAAAACGTGTCTATTAGGAAGAGATTTCCACACTCTTATAGAAAAATGTTTCGTTCCCCTCTCCAACCAATATAAGATCTCACAATCTACCCCTTGGGGGTCAGCGTCCTCGCTGGCACATAGCCCGGTGTCTGGTTCTGATATCATTTATAACATTTCAAGCCCACCACTCGTAAATATTGTCCGTTTTAGCTCGTTATGTATCACCATCAGCCTCATGGTTTTAAAACGCGTCTACTAAAGAGAATGAGGGGTTTTCACACCTCATAAAGAATGTTCCGTTTCACTCTCCAACCAACATTGGATCTCGTAGTCGTTAAAGAGATTAGAGCCACTTAAATGTTCATAGATAGGAGCCACTTGAATGCATAGAGAAGAGATGTTGGTTGGCAGGCAGGCAATGTATACTTACACCGGCTGATGAAAACCCGTACTTCTTCTTGATCTGATCAACTGCACCTGCCTTACTATCTGCTGCTGCGTTCCAATCAACTTGCTCTTCCTTGCTCGAGTTCTTCTCTGTCTTCGCCTTCATCTGTTTCAGCTTTCCTGAATTTTTTACGAGGCATTCATACGGGTTCAGTTAAAATATAATTTTACACTCTTGAGAACGAAATTAGTTCAAATAACCAGCAATTAGAAAGCATTAAAAAAAAAAAGATTCCATCTTTTGTGGAGGTTGGTGGGGAACTGACCTTTAAAAGAATTAAATGTACTGGCCAACTTTTGCTTATTGAGAGAACCCAACATGCTCTGTTCTTTTGGTTTTTCAACAGCATCTTCAATTTCGATGTCATCTGAAACACAGATAGGAAAAGATTTAGCCACCATTTTAAAGTAAATGATAGCAGACTAGCTCGTGGATTGAATGAATACCTATATCCAACGCAGGCTCGTCCTCATTTTCGACCAACTTTTCAGTACCTTCAGCAGTCTTAACATCCCTGTGGAAGTTGGAAGCTGAAAACACTACGCTAAGTTCTTCAACACTTTCTCTACTATCTTCTGCCTCCATATCAGGAGCCTGCTTTGCTTTGCTTCCAGAAATCTCTTGGAAAACAGAAGTAAATATACCCCCCTAGCATTCACCAAAAACATGTTTTTGTTACCCCTTTTGATTTAATATTCTTGTTCTAGCTACAGTTTAAGCAAGCAATGTTTCTACCTTCTTTTTCTCCTTGTGTGCAATGGACCCTTCAGGTGGAATCACGTAATCTTTCCTGTATATGTGACTGATAGAGTCCATGATCCTGGAGAAAAAACAAACTTCTTGAAGTAACAAATTA